GTATATATATATGTTTATATATATATATATAATAGAGTCCACTGAAAAAGTGTATATATCAGGAAAAGAAAAACTTGTATAAATATTTTGATACTAAATTTATTGAAACATCACGAAATTAATACAAGTTACCTTTGGGTTTTTTTTTTTTTGGTGCCAGGGATTGATTTGTTTGTTTTGGTACCTGGATCGAACTCAACTCATGTCCTTGATACGGGGGATTGAACTCAAGACTTTGTGTTTGCCAGGCAGATGTGGCACCACACCTTTTTGTTGTTGTTGTTGTTTGTTTTGTTTTGCTTTTTTTAGACAGGGTCTCGATATGTAGTCCAGGCTGGCCTGGAACTCATTGTGTAGCCTAGGCTGGCCTCAAACTTGTGGCAATCTTCCTGCCTCGGCCTCCTAAGTGCTGGTGTTACAGGCATATGCCACCACAGCTGGCTTATAAGTTACCTTTGGCCTGTAGAATTAAAAGAGGTGCTCAAAGTGGTGGCCATTAGCTTCCAAGCATTTATTAGTACAGTGAGCTGCTCAAGTGTGTACGTATTTTTTGGTGGTCTCCCCCCAATTAAAAAAAAATATGTATTAATTTCTTTTTGAGACAATGTCTCACTAAGTCCTATTTCCCAGTCTGGTTCAAACTTGCAATCCTGCCTCACCCTCCCAGAATGCTGCCATACAGGCATGTGACACCAGGCCTGGCTGTGTTTGTTACAGTTAATGAGCCAGTGCTGGTGCATTGTTAGTAACTAAAGTTCATCCTTCATTCACATTTTCTTATTTTTAAACTGATTACCTTGTTTAGCTGTAATCTCTTTTTAGGCTCCTCATTTCCTTTTTTGTAAGGCTGTTTGGTCCAAACTTTGGTCCTCCTAGATTTTTGTGGATGAGTTAAATTATTAATCTTTCCCTGTTAGCTTTGAAATAGATAAAATCATCAGTTTTGGGTAGCAAAAGCAATAAGAGACCTTTAACAGGGGCCTTTCTGCCCCTTTTATCTTATTCAGAGTACTTAGGGCAGGTAGCACTCATGCCCTTAATCAGTTAGGGCTTCAGATGAGTGCAGTCCAGGCTAACAATGTGACTACAGCTTCCTGAGATGGGCTAGAACCACCTGGCTCAGCTACTTCTGAAAATGCTGTCTCACAGAAACTGTGTGAGATAATAAGTGTCTATTATTGTTTCAATTTGCTAAAATAAGTTAATTGTTGAAGCTGGGTGTTGAGTTCATTGTACTCTTCTCTCTACCTTTGTGAATGCTTGAGATTTTTTTATGACAAAAATTAAAGATTGAATTCTTATCTTAAAAAAAAAAATCATCAGTTTTGGCAAACAATAGTAATAGAAAATACCATTGGGCCAGGGATTTAGTGCAGTGGCACTGTGCCTGCCTCACAAGCTCAAGGACCTGAGTTCGATCCCCAGTACTGGAAAAAAAAAAAAAAGAAAACACCACTACTTGGGCTCTGTATTGCTTAGAATTAAAAGTTTTCAAACAAAACCCCATTACTTAGAAACTTTTGTATATTGAGAATATATACATTTAAGTGTAAAGTGTGTTATCCTTGGCTTAATAATATATTAGGGTTTTTTGGTACGGGGATCCAACTGAGGACCTTTTGCTTTTGAGGCAGGCGGCAGCACCACTGAGCTAAATCCCCAGCCCCTATATATGGTTATTAGTTTAATATTTTAACTGAGGGGCAAGGGAGTTTATAATAATCTTTGAGTCACTTCTAGTAATAGAAAGTTGCTTTACAGTATTTTTCCCCCCTGTAGTACTATGTTTTTTTTTTGTTGTTTTTTTTTTGTACCGGGGATTGAACTCGGGACCTTGCGCTTGCAAGGCAGGCGCCGGAACCACTGAGCTAAATCCCCGGCCCACTACGTGTATTTTTTATATTACAAGTTCCTTCCTGTTTCTACTGGAATCTTTTTGTTTTCCACCCCCACCTCCACTTTTTATTTTGGCTATTCTGGGGATCCAGTACAGAGTCTCAGGCATGCTAGGTAAGTGCTTTACCACTGAACTACAACCCCAGACCCTCTAATGGGAAAATTTTTAAACCTTAGGATTTCTGTACCGTCATGTCTTTTTTTTTTTCAGTACCAAGAGTCAAACTCAGGGCCTCCCGCTTGTCAAACAGGCGCTATGCTGCTGAGCAGCTACATTCCCGGCCCTGTACTTTCATATTTGCCATTGGCATTATCTACTGTTGGTCCATTTGGCTTTTCTCTGGACTCCAGTCTTTACTGGTGATTTACAGGTGATGTATCAGTGCTTTGACAGTTTTATTTTGGGCAACCTCTAGATATTGTCTTTTTTTTTTTCTTCTGAGATAGGGTCTTGCTATGTATGTACAGTTCAGGCTAGCCTTGAGCTCACCAACCTAGGCTGGCCTCCAACTCAAAATGGTTCTCCTCCCTCAGCCTCCCAAGTGCTGAGATTATAGGCATGCACCACCACACCCAGCTGTAGCATTGCCTTTTATTTAAATTCTATTTATGTTAGTCTTCTAAACTTTTCTAGGTGTTTCTATCCAGTTAATATACAGATAATTTATAAGTAAATCTTAAAATGCAAATGCTTAACCCATATCCTGGTTTTAAAACTAAAATGTCCTGTGGTCATAGGGATTTGGCTTTCAAACATTTAGAAGCTTCAGCTATCTGAAGACTGAGTGAATTCATGGTATGTTTATGTGCAGTGATTCCTGTAGGCTGAGCATGCATTCTCCTCTTGTGAGGCCTCAGATGGGAATGTTGCAAAGGTCATAGCACACTGCTAATGCTTTTTTAAAGGCAATTGCAGCATTGTTACTGGAACTGAAAATTTGTGAATCGTATTTTTTACTTTATTATGAATATGCTTACATTTAAACTAATACCAACAGGAAGTGACAGATTTTGTGTATATGCATGTATATGAGGAGGTATTTGTGTTAGTGTGTGTATATTTGTGTGCATATTTAGGTTTATTTACTTCCTGGTTCCGGTGAAAGGGTCTACAAGCAAATAGGGATGTACCCAACCCCAAGACTTTAAGGAACCAGAGCTTCTGAGAAATATCTGACTTCAAGGGTTGGACAGGGTGGGTACAAGATAAGCCAGAGAGTAAGGGAGTGCTTTTTCAAAACAGATAGGGTCATGTGGAAAGGACACATGAGCCAGCTTGAATAAGCTCCCAGTGACAAAATTTGGGACAATTTGTGCTTAAAAATAATGAAGGACCTTAATGAATTATGGACCATTGGAAGAACTAAGAACCTATGAGTCTATTGTCAGTATATAGAAAAATGGAGAAGGAAGGGCCTGTGCTTAAAGTATAATCCCAATGCTAGCAGATAAATATGGAGAGAGAGTTGAAGTTAAAAAATAAGGGCAAGGCCAAGTCCACATGCCTATAATCCCAGCATGCAAGAGGCTGAGGCAGGACGATTTCTGTGAGTTCCAGGCCAGCCTGGGCTATAAAGGGAGTTCAAGGCCAGCCTAAACTACAGAGCGAGACTTGTCTCAAAAAGACAAGGCGGGGGGCTCATCGCTAGACACTATGTCTACAGTGAATATTATATGGAATCCAGGACATTTAGATGATTTAAGGTGCTTCCCCGAAGATTGTGTACTACCTGCAAGTGGGAAAGTGGTAAACAATAGAGCCACTAGAGAGCATCTTGACCAAGTCATCACAGGGGCAGCTGGACATCATGGCATCCAGCAGCAATGCACTAAGAACACAGCATTCTGCTTTGGGGATGCTTAGCCTCAATCATGAGATAACTTTAGCCAAACCCAAAATGAGTAATATTCTCTTAGACTATGGAAATGTCACTGTCAAAATAGAGAAAACATTGTAGAAATGTTCCAGATTAAAGGAGACTAAAGAGGTGTGACAACCAGATATCCAATCCTAGACCAGATGCTGTGTTAAAGGAACGAGAAAATAAAAAGACACTATTGGATCAATTGATAAAATTGGAACTGGGAGAATAAAGTATTATTGATAACCATAGTTAGGTAAAGCTGACAGGCCTTCTTTTTTTTTTTTCGGTACCGGGGATCAAACTCAGTACCTTGCCGCTTGCACGGCAAGCACTGGAACCACTGAGGTAAATCCCCAGCCCTAGGCCTTCTTGACCACAGTCTGCACAACTAAATCCCAAAGGCATCAATTGTGTGACAAGTTAGCGTCTGTCCTCTGCATCCAAAATACCAGCAATTATCATGTTTGAGAGAGTGGAAAAAATTGTCACTCAGATCCTTTTTTATATGGCCAAATTCTCTAATGGAACTGGTTCAAAGTTATAAGAGGGTGGGCTGGGGATTTAGCTCAGTGGTTTTGCTGCGTGCTGAGCAGGCACAAGGACCCGAGTTCGATCCCTGGTACCAAAAAAAAAAAAAGTTATAAAAGGGTATCCTCATTCTTTGGAAATAGGTGCTAAAGTATATAGGAGTGAAGGAATCGTGACTTAAAACAATTTACCTTAAAGTGGTTATAAAAGAGTTATATAGAGAGAGAAAGCAAATGGGAGGAAATGTTAACAGGTAAATTCAAGTAAATAATGTGGGTGTTTTCTGTGCTTTTTCAAATTCTTTCTTGCAACTTTAGCATACATTTTATAAACAAAAACTATCCCTTTGTAATTTGGCATCTAATGTACTAAAAAGTGATAAGATTAGTTGGAGGTTTTATCTAAGGCTGAAGTCTCCATGATTTGATGAGCATTTGGTGTCTTGGGCTGTGATCTTATTGGACAATGATACAGGAGAGAACTGTTTTAGCAAGAAACTGATCACTAGTAAGTGATCACTGTCACTACTTGATAATTTTTATTTGGGTTTCTTGTAAGAAACTTGATCTAATTCCAGTTCTTTCTGGCATAAGTCAAAAATATATATAAACTGTGTGCAGTGCTTAAGGTAGACACTCAGAACAGAAGTAAGTTGAAGGTGTGTGGCCTGAGAAATGTGATTCAAAATTCCCATTTGATTTCTCTTTTTAGGAGGAGCTCTTGGATATAAAAGAACGCCCCCATTCCAAACAGAGGCCTTCGTGCCTCTCAGAAAAGTACGACAGGTATGGCTGTCATTTTGAGTCATTAACTTATTCTAGTTAATTTTTTGTTATACCACACTTGGTAAATTAAGAATTATATTACTTCAAAGGTGTTTGTTTTTTTTTTTTTTTGGTAGAATTATTAGTGAGAGAAGGATTTCAAGAGGTAATAACATAGACTTTAACTGGTAATGAGACTAGAACTAGAAAATGCCTTAGTCAAAATTGCATGGAAAGCAGAACAAAGACTGGAACCTAGGAGTCCTCTCCAGGGTCTTTTCTCTAGACCTTATGGTCCTTGAACTGTGCTTTGAGGGTACTTCAAGGGCCAGCTTCAGCTGTTCTGACCAAGGAGGCTTTAAGCCCTTTACTGCCCCCATATCCTGTCCCCTTCTATGTCTGTCCCCCCCCCCCCAAGAATCTCTCAGCCATTTAGATCATCCTTATGGCATCTTAGGCTTCTTTACAAAAGGTAAAAGGCTTTGGTTTGAAGAGACTATCTCTAAAATGGTCTGAAATTTTCCTACAGTAAACCTATATTGTACTTTTTATGGTCATTCTTGAATATCAAGGTAGATGGTTCATATTCTTTCTTTCTTTTTTATTTTTTTTTTGGTACCAGGGATGGGACTTTGTGGTTGCAAGGCAGGCGGCAGAACCACTGAGCTAAATCCCCAGCCCCTCTGGCTCATATTCTTAACATGTAAAGTGTCATGTTTAATTTTCTGGTTGAATAGAACAGACTTAAAAAAATTTCTATAGGGACTGTTCACCGGGTCCGTGAAATCTAGATTTTTACCACATTTTCCTGCCAAAGGTGATATTGGAATAATGACTGTTCTGATTGGGTAGGATTTTTCTTGGGTCTCCGGTAAGGTAGTTTTTTTTTTTCCATTAAAACTGTTAATCTTTTTATGCCTCAGGGTTGTAATTTATTGTTACATCTCTGTTTCTTCTCGGCAAAAATAATTATGAGCAGACATAGTAGATTTTATTCTGAAATAGAAACATTGTGCCTACTCATAATACTAAAAATAGAGGAGAGAGCATTATTCTGTTCTTTTTCAAGAATGAAAATTTGTTGGGTTCTTAAACACCCAAGTAATCCTCACAAATGCCCTAGCAGATAGGTAATTATGAGAGATTTTGAGACTCAAAGGTTGGCTCACTTTTACAAAAGATGTTCAGGGTTAGGGTGCAGTTTTAGAGTATGTTCCTTTGCATATATGAAACCAGCAGCAAAAAGAAAGAAATGTTTTCTTGTGAAAATACCAGGTATTTTCAGATAACTCCCTGCTTTCATGGGACATTGGTCTGTTAAAGGATATAATCAGTTCCTCTTAAGTGTTTATTATTATACCCACTATAGGCTGTGAGCGACAAGTATTGGAGTATGGTGCTAGTATACACTATGGCCTGATCTGATCTACAGTTTGAAGTCCTTTCTGTGAAAGATACAGCCCAGCAGCATGTCCAGAATGTCCTTGGTGTGGTGGCAGAGCTAGAATTTGGTACCAGATTGTTGGCCTCCAGAGTTTCTGCTCTGCATAGTGTGTTGTCATCTCATTAGAAAATTACCACCACCTAGATGTCTTAAGAGCTGTCCTACTTGTGGAAAAATTAAGACTGGGCATAGAAAAATATATACCAAACATTTCAGGACATGTTCCTGGTGAAAGGCTTATGACTTATTAGCCTTTAGTGAAATGGGTAATCAGTATTTATGGACTTTATGTAGAACAGGCATAGTTATTGTAATCCATGTGTGTTCCAAGGATTGTAGTCTGAATGTTTCATTTGTGTACTGACCATTCTCAAGTGCCTATTAGTGTTAAGCAATCAGCAACAAAGTATTACTAAATTGTTTTTGTTTTCATTTTAAAAGACAACTATTCTGAAGGCAACTGTGAAGTTTTTATTGGAAAGAGGTTTCCATAACTTTTTACTTAAAAGAGGCTTAGAAATTAGACCACCTATAATAGTTCCATGGCTGCAAATGCTAACTGTTGGTACCTTTTGACCTATAGTGATGGTGTCTGGGACCCTGAGAAATGGCATGCCTCTCTCTACCCTGCTTCAGGGCGGAGCTCACCAGTAGAAAGTCTAAAGAAAGAGTTGGATACTGATCGACCTTCCCTGGTGCGCAAGATAGTAGGTGAGCACAGAGCTACTCATAACTGGGGAGCAATAATTTTGGGAACATGGTCTTGGTTGCTGGTTTCGTTCTTAGCTGTGAGAGTTTTTTGCATTGGGGGAAAATGTCATCAGGAAACTGATTAACCAGTTGGATTTTTCCTAATTAGCAGGGTAAAGTCAGTTTCCCTATGTAGCAGGGGCAAGTAGACTGTTAGGCTGTGTGCTTTTGAATTAAAAAGTACTGATGTCTTTCATTGGTATATGTAACTGAGTTAGATGTGGTAGGTAACATAAGGCTGTTTTGGAGATCTTGTCATGCTTCTTATACAAGACTGGTCAGGAATAAATCACTTAGACAGTTGTCAATTCATGATGGATTGTGAGTAGAATACAGAGTTTGGAAATAATTTGAGACTAAAATAAAGTTTAATTTTCCATGCCTTTACCCTTTAAGCTAGAAAAGGTATTTAAGGGGGAAATGGAAGCCTGAAAATATGAACCAATCCGGGACTTGTTACAAGATGCCCTTTTGAAACTGGGCGGGCATCTGTAATCCCAACTACTTGGGAGGCTGAGGTAGGAGGATTAGAGTCAGCCTGGGCAACTTAGACCCTGTCTCAAAATAAAATAAAGAAGATTTGGAGGGAGGGCAGGGGAATGGGGAAAAAATAAGGACAAAGATGTATCATGTAAAGGTATAAATTCCCAGTGATGAATGTCATCATATTGTATACCTAAAATGTACCAGTAAACTTAATGGAAAAAAAAAAAAGATTTGGAGATGTAGCTCAGTGCAAAGGCCTAGGACTAGGGGGGGAAACAAAACAAAATAAAAACAATAGTTCTTTTGCAATAAGAAAAAGACTCCTCATAAAAACTTGGAACTGAGCAAGAAAGATCAGTTTGACTTGTTTGAGATGTAAGATTCTTCTACACAGTCTATCAGTATATTTAATGCAATAGAATCCTTCAAAGAATTCTAACAGAATCACTAAAGATATGCACACTTTATTAAAATGATGGAAACTTAGAAGGAATCTAAATATCCATCAGTGAAAATGGGTTGAGTAAACTTTGATATATCCATATGTAGGAATATTACATTGTTGGGTATAAAAATATATTTCAAATATGTTTATTGCAAATGACATTCATGATGATGTACTTATTCAAGACTGTGCACATTATATCCTGTTTCTGAAAAAACAAAAACCCTGAGACTCCACAGAAGTTCCTGAAAGGTATATACTAAAACATTCCAATAGCTGTTTCCAATAAGAAGATTAAAGCAGGTTTTTCTCATTTCAGCTGATCTTCAGTTTTCTGGTTTTTCTAGGAAGAGATTTTTTTTTAATGTGACATGTTTGTTTTCCTTACACCTTTTCTTCCAGTTGCCTGCACATACAGTATACCATTTAATGTATCAACATGCATATACATAGGTGAGACCATTACCACAATCAAAATAAGTATATTTCCATCACCCCTGAAAATTCCCTAGTATCCCTCAGTCTCTACCTTTAACACTTCCTCATGTTCCCACACATTCCCCACTCCCAAGCATTGAACTGATTTCTTTTTTGGTACTGGGAATCAAACTCAGGACTTAGTGCTTGCCAGGCAGGCGCTGCTGAGTACATCCCTGGCCCTGATTTCTATCACTATAGATCAATTTATATTTCCTTTTTTTTTTGGTACCAGGGATCAAACTCAGGTCCTTGCACTTGCCAGGCAGGCAGCAGCACCACTGAGCTAAATCCTCAGCCCATCAATTTGTATTTCCTAGAATTGTATATAGGTGGAATTATTATAATATGTACTCTTTGTGTGTAGCTTCTTGCACTCAAAATAATTAAAGATTCATCCATGTTGTTGAATGAATAAATGATATATTTCTTTTTGTTGCCCAGTAGTATTCCATTGTATGGATTCACTGGAGTCTATTCATTGATCTACTGATGGACATTTTAGATTGTTTCTAGATTTTGGCTGTTAACAACAAAGGTGCTGTGAACATTTATGAACAAGCCTCTATAGACATGTGCTTCCTATCTCTTCTTGTCTCTCTGGGAATAGAGTATCTGGGTCATGTAGTAGGCGTATATTTAATGTCTTGAGAAACTGGCCAACTGTTTTCCAAAGTGGTTGTACCATTTTACATTTCCACCAGCAGTGTATGAGAGTTCTGCTTGCTCCACATCCTCACCAGCACTTGGAATGGTCAGTCTTTTTCATTTTAGCCATTCTAATAGGAGTGTAGTGGTATCAACATGGTTTAATTTGCATTTCCCTAGTGACTAATGATATTGAATATGTTTTCATATGCTTATTTGTTACCCATATAACCTCTTTGCTGAAGTGTCTGTTCAAGCCATTTGTCCATTTTGTTTTTTTTAAGTTGTCTTTAAAGAGGTTTTTATATATTCTGGATATATATATAGGTCCTTTATGAGAAATATGCCTTGAAATGTTTTCTTCTGACAGTTTTTGGCTTATCTTTGCATTCTCTAAACAGTGTCTCTCAAAGAACAGAAGTTCTACATTTTGGTCAAGCCCTGTTTATTAATTTTTAAAAATGAATTGTACTTTTGTTATCATGCCTGAAAAAACTGTGACCCAACACCACAAATATTTCATCTTGTATTTTCTTCTATAAGTTTTATAGTTTCAGGTTTTACATTAGATTTGTGATGCATTTTGAATTAACTTTTATACATGGTACTAGGTTTAAAGTTCTTCTTTTTTTTTTTTTTTTTGTGTTAATATCCATCTGTTCAACACTGTTTTTGAAGAGACACTTTAACCTGTTAAGCAGTTATTTTCTCAACTACTGACATCTATTGTAATTTATTAGTGGACAAAACATTTGCTAATAATTACATAGATAAGACCTTAGTCAAAATAAAGTCACTTCAGAGACTAACCACAGGAAATAATTCATTGTAAAATAAATTTATTGCTCCAAAAAGAACATAGAAGCCTTGGTCTTATCTAAATATGTAATATACGTGCTACCCTAAATCTACTGATAAGTCCAATGTTATTGATAAGACTTTACCAACCCTCTCTTTCCTCTTAACCTTGTGGGCATATCACCTAGAGAAGAAAAACTCCCTTGTTGATTTGCTTAACTTTCTTTTTCCCACATCTTTCCAGATCCACGAGAACGTGTAAAAGAAGATGACTTGGATGTTGTTCTCAGCCCACAGAGACGGAGCTTTGGAGGGGGCTGCCATGTGACAGCTGCTGTTAGCTCCCGCCGCTCAGGAAGTCCATTGGAAAAAGACAGTGATGGGCTTCGCCTGCTAGGTGGACGAAGAATTGGCAGTGGGAGGATCATCTCTGCCCGGAACTTTGAAAAGGATCATCGTCTTAGTGATAAAGACCTGCGGGACTTGAGAGAGAGAGATCGAGAGAGGGACTACAAGGACAAGCGTTTCAGGGTTTGTCTTCAAGACCCTTTGGTACTTCACATGCTTAAGGACTTGATATTCACTTCATTTAAACCTGGTTACTTTGAAAACCTCAATGAACACAGCCCACTCTTAAACCAGACAAGGAGAGCTGGATGGGCTGAGGGGCATGGTAATGGGGTTCAAGTCTACAGCATAGTATTTTCATTTCACCATTGAATATTACCTCACTCATTAAGATCCATGCTTTGGCTAGAATTTTATTTATTTTTTATCTTCTTGTACTTTTCTAGAGGGAGTTTGGGGATAGTAAGCGTGTCTTTGGCGAGCGTAGAAGAAATGATTCATACACTGAAGAAGAACCAGAATGGTTCTCAGCTGGACCCACAAGTCAGTCTGAAACCATTGAACTGACTGGCTTTGATGATAAGATACTAGAAGAAGATCACAAAGGCAGAAAAAGAACAAGGCGACGGACGGCCTCTATAAAGGAAGGTCAGCACAAACCAGGAGGGAAGTTCATTGTTTTAAAATGAGATGTGATTATCACTGGCTTAATTGCACACTGAGGAATGGGCACCAGTTACTAGGAAATGGCAAGTTTTTTATGTTGCAGCTTGAGTTTGAAACTGCTTCCTAAGTGAGAATTCACAAGTGTAGATTGTACTACAGTATCTCCTCAACTACTTCTGCCTGCCATGCTAAACAGAAGGGTCTTATTACCCTGTGAGACCACTGTATACACAAAAGTGTTCCCCAGGGATGAGAAACACAAAGGTTAAGAGTGGTCTCATTTATTGAACAATTAGTGTACTAGACACAAGAGTGTGTTATTTCTATATTATAGTCATTATAACAACCTATTCAGTGTAGTACTTTTTTGTCTGTTTCATAGGCAAGTAAATGGAGGCTCAGGTGGCTTACATGACATATTTACCACTGAGGAAATAGTGAAATTGGGAGTTGGACAAGATTCTTTTGGGCTTGAAAGCCCACTTTCTTCACTGTAGTGCTAAACCATCCCAGGTCAATTATTTGACTGGCCCTCTCTCTCCTAAACTTAGTTTTTTCTTCAAGGAAGTGACCTGGCTCTGAAATGACCACCCCGGGGCTTATGGTCTTTGGGAAGGAGTAGTGCAGGGCATGGTCAAGAGCCAGGTAGGCTAGCCTGGGTTAGAGTACTGAGACTGCTGCTAAGAAAAAGAATATCTATGACAGAAATTTTTTTTTTTTTTTTT